ATAGAAATACATAAAAGTAAGTATTAAAATATATATTAGCAAATAAATAAAATACTTATTTATGGAAAAATAAATAAATAATTTTTTGAATAATTTGAAACTTTGATTTTAAAAGAAAATCATAAAGAAGATATTAGGAATAAAAAGATTAATATGGAGATATTTAACAAAATTTAATTTTTTAAAAATGTCAAGAATATCGATTTTGAAATATCAGCTCATAAATTAAAAATATCGGATGCAAATTAAAAATTAAAAATATTTTTAATTATAAAATAATATTATAATACTTTACAAATACGTATAAAAAAAATTATGCTTCATATCCCCACATACATGTCGTTAAAAAAAAAGGAAAATTTTCTTTTCATCCATCTTTGCTCCATTTATTTTATTTTATTTTGTTATGCATACAAACACAAGCCATTTACAGAATCAGCTTTTGTGTATTTATTGAGGGGATCATGATAGAAATGATTATTTATTGACGATAAATGTTCACTACCAATACATTAATTTGTAAATGAACTACCTTTGGATCTATTTATACGAAACAATTTAATGTGATTGATCAGTAGAGAAGCCATGCATGTCTAACCCGATGTCCTCATCACGAACACTTGCATCGATAAATCTGAAATCAAAATCAAAATTTGAGCTCCAATTTAATTATTTTCTTCCATCTGTAAGATATCTATTTCTATTAATATTTATCATATCTTGTGTGGTGTTGACAGAATTTGGATTTGCCAACATATTGATTTTATTGTGATTGCACTAACAACCCAACTCTTGTCAATTGTCATGCTGTCACTTCTATGTCAATATCCATATAAAATATGGCATTGTTTTTAAAATCGAACCGAATCGGCTGACCGGTGAATCGGTGACCCGGCCATGTGTCCGGTCTAGTTTTCCTTTTTACTGTGATTTAAGTTAACCCGGGTTAGATTAACCTGCCCAACCCCTCGGTTCAGGCGGGTTGGGTGGGTTGAAATTTAAAAAAAAAACTTGATAATGATTAATCAATATGTATATTTATTTTTGACATGATAATGATTAATGATAGGTCAATAGGAGTCATAGGGTAAAAAAAATCATACTTATGTCAGATGAGGGCACGGAAGAAGCAAAAAGAAACCAAAAAGTATAAATATATATTATATTATATTATTTTTTAATTTGAATTATTTAAATAAATAATTTTTAAAATATATCACTTTTATTTATTATCTTTTATTTTAAAATAAATTTTTATTTCTATTATTTTAACTCATTGAAATTTTTTTATCATTTAGTTAACCTTATTTTAAAAAATTATAGAAATGTTGTTATACTTTATTATTGTTAGAATTATTGTTATATGTTATATGAGATATTAAGACTTGGATATGTATGAACGTATTGAGAATTAATATATTTTTTATTTAAATTATATTATTTTATTATGACCGGTCTAATTCCAGTTTGACCCCCGGTTGAACCCATGACCTTTGACCCTTGAGTTTGGCCGGTTTAATGACTGGTCCAGTTTTCAGTACCTTGAAATACGGTGAACTTCATATGCATTGATTTACATATATACCAAACCTTAGGGGAAAAAAAAAAGTGATAGCAATAAATATGTAATCAAATACTCTCTAGATCACAGTACAGGACTTTAGTAATTACTTTACGTTTTTAAGAAAATTAATTTGAAACCTTAACCTGTTAAATTTTTTTAATAACTTTTTAATTATACTCTGATTAAATATTGTATATTCACTATAAAAATTAATTTTTGGATACAAGTTTTAGCAATGACTGAAAAAAGGCTACATCCAAAGGTAAATTTTTAGTGACATTTTTTGAGGCCACAATTAAAAATCACTGTCAAGCATGCTGGGGCCAAATTGAATTTTATAAAAACATTAATACGGATTAATTCTTTTAAATTTTACATAAATTTAAAAAGATTAATATTATTTATTACTCATATAAAATATGAAAAATATCATTTTAACTAACTACTTTAATACGAAATATATCACTTTAAAATATTTTAAATAAACCTTGGTAAAGTTGAAATATCAAATCAAAATTCAGGAAAAATTAATAACTTGCTTCCTACAGTTTTCTTTTTTAGTAATATAGTTCCTATAATTTTAACTCAATTAAAATTTAGTCCTTAAATTTTTTATTTGGCATAATTCTGTCTCGATAATTTTAAGAAAAGACATATTTACAGGTCTTTATAGTTTTACTTAATTTTGAATTAGGTTCTTGCAATTTATTCTGTTTTAATTGAGCCTTTATAATTTAATTAATTAAATTTTTTAATCTCTAAAAGTTAAAATCCTTACATTTCTCCTTTAAAAAATAAAAATAAGAACTTTATATTTTTATTAAATAATTGTATGACTTTAGAATAAATTTTATAACTCAAAATTTATATAATTAAGTTGTCTTCTGAATATTTTTTATACGCATAGAATTTTTATAAAAAATATAATAAAAATATAAACAGTGAGTTAAATCAAAAATTTTATTTTAGCTAAAAGTATTAAATTAAATTTTCTGCAAGCTCCAAAAGTATTTTTGTTTTGTAAAATTTAATAATCCATTATTAATTTTTACTTTTAGAGGTCAATATATGTAATAGATGAAATTATAAGGGTTTGATTAATATAAAATAATGTACAGAGACCTAATTCAAAATTGAGTAAAATTATAATGACCTGCAAGTATATTTTTCCTAATTTTAACTCAAGTTAAAATTCAATTATAGAACTTTGATTCTTGTAACCCTTTTTTTAACCAAAATTTTGAGTCTTGTAGCTCAATCTTTATAGTTTTGTCTAGAGAAATTCTTGCATAGATGTGATATACCACATCATCTATAATTTATCTAATAAAATTTTACTAATTTAATTAAATAAAATATTGTATGTTATTATTTTTAATAATTTATTTTTAAAATAGAATAATTATTTATTTTTTATTTTTTATCTCTCTGTAGTAATTAATGACAGGATAAATTTATATTTACAGCTAATTAACATAACTTGTTTTTATTATATAAGCTACAAATAATGTGATATATTATGTCTATATAAAAATTTCTCATTTTATCTATTTAAAATATTAGTTTTTATATTTTAAAAAGTAAAAAAATAAAAAATAAAATACTTTTGAAAACTAATATTTTAAATTACAACTAGTGTGGTTGAATTGGGTTAACTTATAAAAAATGTTTTAGGGTATGAAACAAATTTGGCAATCTTAAGTATCTTCCACTGTACCATGCATGTGCCTTTAATGTGAGAGTACGGCATTAGAGCTATCCCAATCAATTTGGCAGATCGACGTATTTACTGCACCAACACGGCAACACCTGCATCAAAGAGAAATTTATACACGCCCAAAAACTCTTTTTCTTAACCCATTTTCAACTATTTAAAAATCACATTGAAATAATCTAAATTGATTTACGATAAAGTCAAAGAAGACAAAACTTTAATAACAAATTTTTATCATAGTTGCATGGCCAATGTTTCAATCTAAGACCAATTATAGTTGTTGTTGTTGTTGCTGTACAAATCTTGCTAAAGCCTCTTAGTTTCCAATAAATTTTAAGGTTAATGAATATTTTAAACTCTTCATTATTACATGAATAGTATTTTAGATACTGAACTCTTAAACTTTACAAAAGTTTTTCTTAACTTTTAAATTTTGAGCATTTGAAGTCTTACTATCAAGTTGTAAACAATGATAATTATTTTTAAATATCAAAATGAGTGCTATATCAATTATCAGTGTGCAACTAGGCCTCATAACTAAAAAGTAACAGTAGTTTTTTCCAACTTAATAATAAAGTTTCAAGCATTTAAAATTCAAACGTTGATAAAAGTTTTTGCATATTTTAAAAATTCATAACATAGGATACTATTCATTTAAAAGTTTAGAATTTATGATGCTCATTAATCCTAAATTTTTAATCCAATCTTACTAACCTTTTGTATTCTCTTTGTCCACCATAAATATACTTAATATTACTAGGGTGTTATTGAAAAGAATTATTAATTTTTTTGTAGATTTTTTTAAAAAAATGTCTTATAAATAAGATTATAAAAAATTTCTACAAGATGATCTATAAACAAGTGGCAGTAATAAACTAACACAAGTCACACTAATTAAGCTACCATCATATCAGTTAAGAAAAAGGAGAAAAAATTATTCCCTTCATTCAATATTATAAACCATTTTTTTCCAAAAAATCTCATATTAAAAACATAAAATATTTTAAGTTCTTTAAAGTGTAATTGATAAGATTTTTCTAAAAATATGTTTAATTAAATAGTGTGATTGTTGGTCAAAAAATAAATAGTGTGATTAATAAGATTTTATAACAAAGACACCCTATTAAATAAAAATAAATATGAACAGATTATGTGATTTTTAAAAAGAATTAACTAACTCATTAAAAATATAATTTCATTAAAAATATTTTATAATAACGATAGGAGGAAAGACTTAATAACTCGTTTGCTTTGGGCATATATTAGATTTAATATTAATTATTTTTAGCTTTTTTACAAATTTTTATTTCAGTAGATTTTTATAATAAAAGTATGAAGATATGATGATGTTTTAATTTTCAGTCTCCTAAAAAATAAATTTATTATTTAAAAATTATAGTAAATTAAAAAAATGTAAATTAGCTCGTCTAAACTAAATTTAATCTAGATCTATTATCTATCTCCTTGCCATAAATGATACAGCCACAATCGCCTCCCCGGCCTCCCTTTGAGACTTTATGTGAGAGAGAGAGAGAGAGAGAGAGTAACAGACAAAAAACTGAACAATTAGGAGCTGTGGGTGACCTCTCTCACAGCTACCTCAACTACATTACCAGTCAAAACCCACCTTCTCTCTCTCTTTTCTTCTTCCTATTCCCACATATCTCATTGCTTCTCAAACATCCTCATTTCATATCCATATAAATATGTAAATACAGAGAGTCACACATTACAATTGCAAGGCCTATCCCTACTCAACCCCATTAAACTCTCCGAACTACATTTTCTGATTCACTGTTTCCCTCCTTTCACTAATTAAATCCTCTCTCTCTATCCCTCCCTCCCTCTGAGTATGTCTTCTCGGATAGTTGCAGATCCGGAGAGCTCGTTTCCGGTGTCGGATACGACATCTTATCTCAGCTCCGTCGAGCTCAGCAGTTCTACAAGTCTTCCGACTGATCATTCCCCCACGCTTGGCCAACTTCTCAAGCATGTCGGAGATGTGCGCAAGGAAACCACCGGAGACGGCGGTGAGACGCCACTGCATCATGCACTTGACCTCGGTGATGGCCATGTCGGACTCGGACCTCGTTCCCTTCCTTTCGTGCTGTCTTTTAGTAATCTCACTTATAGCGTCAAGGTTCGCCGGAAAATGAACTTCTCGGCGTTGTGTTCTCGAGGAAGAAACCGTCTTGGTGCTGCTGCTGTTGATGATACAATGGGTGAAGAGAGCTTCTTCTCGAGCACTAAGACCCTTCTGGATGACATCTCCGGCGAGGCTCGCGACGGCGAGATCATGGCTGTGATGGGCGCTAGTGGTTCCGGCAAGTCTACTCTCATTGACGCCTTGGCCAACCGTATAGCGAAGGGAAGCTTGAAAGGAACAGTGGCTCTGAACGGCGAGGCCATGAACTCGCGGCTTCTAAAGGTGATTTCAGCTTACGTAATGCAAGACGATCTGTTATTTCCAATGCTCACCGTTGAAGAGACTCTCATGTTCGCGGCGGAATTCCGATTGCCTCGAACCCTCTCGAAGTCCAAGAAGAAGATGAGGGTCCAAACTCTGATCGACCAGCTCGGCCTCAGGAACGCTGCAAATACTGTCATCGGAGACGAGGGCCACCGTGGGGTCTCCGGGGGTGAACGCCGGCGCGTGTCCATCGGCATTGACATAATTCACGACCCCATCATCTTGTTCCTGGACGAGCCCACCTCCGGACTGGACTCTACCAGCGCGTACATGGTGGTGAAGGTTCTCCAGAGAATCGCTCAAACGGGAAGCATCGTTATCATGTCCATACATCAGCCCAGTTACAGAATCCTCGGGCTCCTCGATCGTATGATCTTCTTGTCGCGTGGGAAAACAGTCTACAGTGGCTCGCCGATGCAGCTACCGACCTTCTTCTCCGAATTTGGCCACCCCATACCGGAAAACGAGAACCGAACCGAGTTCGCCTTGGATCTGATTCGCGAACTCGAAGGCTCACCAGGTGGTACCAAGAGCTTAGTCGAGTTCAACAAATCATGGCAGAACAAGAAGCATATTGAAAGCAAAAGATCTGATATCAGTCATGGGCAGAGTTTATCTCTGAAAGAAGCAATAAGTGCCGGCATTTCTAAAGGGAAATTAGTTTCAGGCGCGACGAACACTAACACAAGCACAAGTTCGTCATCTTCATGGATGGTTCGAACATATGCGAACCCATTTTGGATCGAACTGGCGACACTGTCAAAACGATCCTTCACCAATTCTCGCCGGATGCCGGAGCTGTTGGCGATGCGACTTGGCACCGTTATGGTCACCGGATTCATCCTCGCCACCGTGTTCTGGCATTTAGATAACTCTCCTAAAGGAGTCCAAGAGAGGCTCGGCTTCTTCGCATTCGCCATGTCCACCACCTTCTACACCACCGCCGACGCATTACCGGTTTTCCTTCAAGAGCGACATATCTTCATGAGAGAAACTTCTCATAACGCTTACCGGCGATCGTCGTACCTCATCTCTCACGCTCTCGTTGCCTTCCCGCCATTAATCTTCCTCTCTCTAGCATTCGCCGTCACCACCTTCTGGGCGGTCGGCCTCGACGGAGGATTCTCCGGCTTCGCCTTCTACTTCGCCATCATCCTCGCCTCCTTCTGGGCCGGAAACTCCTTCGTCACCTTCCTCTCCGGCCTGGTCCCTCACGTGATGCTGGGCTACACAATAGTGGTCGCCATCTTAGCCTACTTCTTGCTCTTCAGTGGCTTCTTCATAAACCGAGATCGCATTCCGGCGTACTGGATATGGTTCCACTACATATCTCTGGTGAAGTACCCATACGAAGCTGTTCTTCAGAACGAATTCAGCGACCCATTGAAGTGTTTCGTGAAGGGGGTTCAGATCTTCGATAATACGCCATTAAAGTCGGTGCCGGAGCTTATGAAGATGAAGCTATTGAAGAGCATGAGCGAGACGTTAGGGGTGAACATAACGAGCTCGACATGCTTGACCACTGGTTCAGACATATTGCAACAGAATGGCGTGTTGGATTTGAGCAAGTGGAACTGCTTGTGGATCACTGTGGCTTGGGGTTTCTTCTTTAGGATTTTGTTTTACGTCATGTTGTTGGTGGGAAGCAAGAACAAGAGAAGATGATTAGATAATAATAAGGTAATAGTAATTAGTTAATTAATTAATTAATTTGTTTATGGCTTGTTAATTTGGCTGTTAATTCAAGCCTGCATGCCGTGGGAATTTCAATTAATTTGTGTTTTTTTTTATGTGGTTGTTAATGATGATGATTTTATTCATCAAGATATATAAATATATATACTTGATCAGTCGTGTAATTTGTGACAGAAAAGTAAGGTTTTCAAATGCTTATATTTTGCTGTTTGCATGAAAATATATCGATGATGTATATGAACATGCACGCATGGTATCCTCAGTGTTGGAGCCAGAAGCTAGACTGTCCCTCTTACTTAGTTTGTTTTGTTTGTTTTTTTTAATTATTATTACTTTTAAATATTCTGTGTGCGTGTCTGGGTATTTTTTGTATGATTAGCGGGTTTGGGATTTTTGATTTGTACCATCTCCATATTTTCTCTAATATAAAGCATATTTAGTTTTTTAAAATATAATTATTACTTTCTTTTAAAAGTATCCATATTGATAATAATTTTATATTTATTATAAGGTGTTTAATATGGATAAATATAAAAAAATAAGATTAATTTAAAAGTAAGTAATTATTTTATTGAGAATGAGATTCAATTAAAAATATTTTATATTTTTGAACGGTGCTTTTCATGGTCAATATCATCCATCAATCTATTTAATTAAATTCATTTGGTTTTACCGTGTAAAATTTTGACTTTTGATATTAAACTAAATATAACATTTATTTAATTATTATTGCAAAGAAATATTATGATCATGTTTTCAAAAACATTTAAGTAATAATAATAAATAAAAAGCCATTAAATAAAATAAGTAATTTAATTGATGGATAAAATTGAATATGAAAAGAGATATTGAGAGAATATGAAAAGTATCAATAGATGTTGGTCATGGTGGGAGAGACTACAGTCACTAAAGCATAGAGTATCGAGTTCGAATTTATATTAACGAAAAAAACACATTTGAAAAAGTTAATTTCAGTTAGACTTGACAATATTCAAATCTAACTAAATTAGATAGACTTATAAGAAAAAATATCAAGAGGATACAAATCCACGGGATTTAATTTTATAATGTACATGTTTAGAATATTTATTGCGCTAGTGAACAAAATGGACGTAAAAGTTGGCAACCAGTACCAATCTCGTTTATATAAGAAGCATTTATGTGATTTGATAACCTAACCTTATAATTGGTTAATGTTTCAATTTTTTATTTTTTTTAAAAAAAATAGTATGCCCACAGAAAAGTTGCCTGCTTGCTTGCAAGAGGAAACAAATTTAAAAGTTCCCCGCAATTAGGGAAAGTAGCTCTATAATGTCTGCCCTTCTTTCACAAGCTTCGGTAGTTATTGATAGAGTGGAAAGAATTAATTGTTTTGGCAAAATAAACAATGCGGTTTTTTTTGGTACTTGATGGGTGCTTTCTTTTTAATAAAAATTCAAGTAATAAGTTGAATAACAAATCAGATAATTAGGTTGGAAAATATTTTTGTATATGTCTTTGATCCAACTCTAAATTAAGAGGTTGTGGTTGATTATTGATGTTTTCGGCTAGTTTGGTCCTTTTGTAAACCGTTGTTGTTTGTTTATGAATGGATCCAATTCCTATTCAATCCAACAAAAAATACTTGATGCTACTAGTCAACAATAACGCCTTCACATCAATTGGCAAATATAACGAGCTAGCCATTTGATTGTTGAAAATGATGGGTATTGGATGCACTAAAAAAATTAAAATAAAAATAAGCTAAATTATCTTTCCCCCTAAGATAAACATGGAAAAACTTAATATCACATACTAAAAATATGATAATCGTCGTTCGCGTATCTCATAAATCATAACTCTGAACCTCATTAATTAAAGTATCCTTCTTCTTTCATGAACATGGTTGACCTATATATCTCTCTTCCACATTTTGATCATTTTTTGTATCTTATTTAGCTAGCAACTAAATAGGCCTTAAGTGTTGTTAAGAGTGTGCTAACATCAAGTAATTTAGTTCTTGGCTGTGAGTTAGGTTTGTAGCATTCTAGGAATTTTAAGTTTGATTAATTAGAATAAACAAAGGTAATATGGTAAATTAAATGGGTTAATTGTGATTTAGATCACTAGTGGGCTAATTGGATCCATTAGCAGCTTTAGATTGGGGGCTATAAGAGTTACTAGGCCGTATTTGGCCCAAGGGGATGACATAAGGTGAGTTGGGCCCTCTTGTGCCATCCTTCGTGAAAAATGGTCCATGTATCAAGGCAGATGGTCATTTCAAAAAATAAACCTATCGCAAGATAGATGCTGAAAGGGAAGGAAAAGAGCGGTGAGCAAGAGGGAGATTGTGGTATTTGGTAGAGGTTTAGCACTTGGAATCATCAAGGTAACCTCTCTAACTCATCCTCCTCTCTTCTTATCCAAATTGTAAGCTAGGTTTTTGGTATTATGATGAGCGATTTTTGACTATGTAGGGATTACGGCCAAACTCAATGAATCTAATGAGACTATTGGAATGTTTTTTTATGTCTCTAAATCTATGATTAGGGTTTTAATGGGGGTTTTGCATTTGGGTTTGTTGATTTGAGCAAACCCTAGACTTAAAATTGATAATGTGAAGACTAAATAAGTGGAAAATGGGTTTTGGTTAGGCTCATTGGAGTCTAAAGAGACTAATGGAACTAATGAATATCAACGTTAACTAGCTAGTGAATTAATTTTTAGGATTTTTGAGAGATAGATAATAGGAAATTATGAACTATGATAGATAATTGATGATGATGAGTTGTCTAAATTATAGACCAACTATTGTGAGCTCTTTGATTAAGTGGGAGCTTGGAATTGGCAAGTGTCCATGAGTTGCCCCTTTGACAACTCAAGGGGGTAGATGCAATTGGCAACCTAAATCCCTCATATACTTGTTTATGTATTTTTGATATTGTGAAATTATGAAAATGTATGCTTATATATGGAAATGTTATTTTATGTTTTAGAGAATGTTGTCAAATGGGTATGTGAATGGTTTGAGAAATTGATGAATAATTGATAATTGAAAGTTATGATTTGAATATTATATGAATATGCATCTATGATATGGATTGAGCATGAAAAATTATGGCATGAATGTGAAATGAAAAGAGTGGGAGTTTATCTTAGAAGGAGAAAGTAGTAAAATAGACCACGTGGCATTGTCATCATTTGGGTGACTCTAGTGTTATATTGACGCTTAGTTGTGTCTATCTTCTCATGTAAAGTAGATATAGTTTTGGCAAAATATGATATCCATTGGGATTCAAGAAAGGGGGAGTCCACAATCTTAGTTTGAGAGTAATGACCTTTAACCGGGTTACCCCTCAAATAATAGAAAGTTTGAGCTAGTCTAGTAACATAGATTAGTCAAGTTATAAATTATACCTCATAGACTTGATTAGAATGAACAATGAGGAGATAAAGGGGTAATATTGATCATGCACTCATATATCATGGTAATATATTTATATAAATGTTCACTCTCTTTGCACACACTTAAATATTTGTACTTGTATATGTTGGAGATTAGAGTTCTTAGTTAATAGTTACTAAGATTATTATCTTACTCTATAATTTAATATTTTATAAGTGATGATTCCATTAGTGGCAAGGAAATGGAACCAGAGGCCAACAACTAAGCATTCATAGTATGCAATGCCTCTTTAATATTTTGTGTAGATGATTAGGGACATATTTTCAACTAAGGACAATTATCTAAAATTTAAATTCAAATCAACCAATCCAATTGCTACATAATTTAATTTCCATATGCTCTCTTAGAAATCATAAAAGTAGGGAAAAATGAATTTCAACCCATGAATTATATATGGCCTAAAAATTAAACACTTATTCATTATGTGCCCGTTTGGATTTCAATTGGGTATAATATATTATGAAAATAATTAATTAAATGTTAGATTTTAATCATAATTAATTATGTTATAACGCAATTTTTTTAGATACTTTTTTTTCTAAAATTAATTTTAACAAAATTAAAAATATTTGGATAATTTAATCAGAATCAATTTTAGCTATATAAATTACTATAAAGAACATTGTTTTTCAAAATTAAATTATTAATATATTTTTATCTAATATTATTAAATTTTTTAAATTTTATTGAAGAAGTAAAATATATTATTTAAATTACATATCTAATTAATTATAAAAATTTAAATTATATTAATATTAAAAATTTAATTTATGTAAATAAATAATTCAATATACCTTAGTTCAAATAAATTTAATAAAGAGAAAAATTTAACTCTTAAATACCAAACGTTAATTTTACAATAACTAATAAAAATGATAATATACAAATTAATTTCTAATGACATTATAGATATGATCCACATCTGATGAAAATATTAAGCATTGCTTTAAAATTTTGGCAATATAGAAAATGTAACAATGTCATAAATGATGCAAAATCTCTCTCTGAACTTTTGCAACAATTTTTATCATGACTCTGAATTTTAAATTATTTTTTCTCTATTAATTAATATTTTATTTAAAATAGTTTTATAGTAAAAGGCGATGGTTGACAAGAAATTATGTTAGTAACTTTTTTAAGAATATAAAATTTAAATTTTATTAAAAAAAAAAGAAGAGAAGAGAGTTTATTTTATTTTTATTAAACTATGTGCTTTCTTTATAATTTTTTTTAGACTTTTCCTTATAATTTTTTCCAACCTTTTTTTATGGCTTTTCCGCAAAAGCTCAGATTGGGAGCTGCCAGAAAAATCGATTTTTCCTCCAAAAATCGATTTACCAAAAAAGTGAGTGTTTGGGTAATTGAAGTAAAAATTGATTTTTTTCTTCAAAAAATCGATTAACATGCTTATCCAAACACACACTATGTAGGCTCTGTTTGAAGTCACTCCAATACCAGACGAGACCTTGACATATTTTTTAAGACACTTTTATCAAACTTATTTCTTTTGGTAACACCGTACCGTATTTGACGTTTTGTGACAAAAACATCATTGGTCTACTACCACCATCATTTAATCAAAAAAGTTGGTAATAATTAGAAAACATATATTATTAGAATTATTATATATTTTCCAAAAATACATTGGAAGTCATTCACTTGGTTTGGTGTGGTGGACCCGACCAGCTGAACTAGATTGAAAAAATATAATAAATGTGTCAAGTAATGGAAGGCTCGTACACTACTGGAGAGGATAGGTGCGTAGCTTTCACAGGGCCACAGCCTTAATTAAAAAGTAATGGGTTCATTTAATACCACCTGAACCCCCTGGCCCAATTGAAACTTGCAAGTTTAGTGAACAACATCTCATTTAGTTCTCCCTAAAGTTTTTTAAAAAAAATCTGTCAATCAATCTATTCTTGATTGTTACAAGTGTTAAGTGACGAATAAAGACTCTCGTCTCATTAATAGCTAGTTAAAATCACACATACAAATGTTAGAAGACTTAACATGAGATTAGATTAATTTAGATCGAGTAGTGATAGACCTTTTATTGAAATATTTTTATAACAAAGAGATGTTTTATTGAAAATTTATATTCCTTTGAAAAGTTATATCTTTATAAATTAAGAAGTTATGCCATTATAAATTAAAGAATACATTTATAAAATATTATATAAAGAGTAATAATCACTAAGGTCATGTCTCTCTAAATTTTAAAGGCACTTTTGGAGGGTTATAAAACTAAAATGTGTCACTTAGTAAAATAAAATGTATTTTAAGAAAACGTTATATATTAAAAGGAGGTTTCTTTTCATAAAAAAAGTTATTATAAATAACCATTAGTTAATATTAATTATTAAATTATATAAGTTCATAAACTAATTTTGGCAATGTTTATGAATTAACATAAGATTGTTTACGAACTAATATAAGGGTTATGAACCATATTAATTATAACTTTTAAAAAAAGTTTTATTATTTAAAAGGTATTACCTTAAGACATCAATTCAGTATCTATAAATACACAACACTATCATTCATTTGGGACATAAAAAAAAGAAGATCTATTGGTTAAACTCATTGCCTTTATTCTTTGAGTGCACCAGAGATAAAATTAAATTATCACTTTATAAAAACTATTATTGTCTTGATTTGTGTCTTAATAATGCAAACCATAATCAAAGATCTTCATTCTATCTTGAAGGAAATTCATTATCAATCCAACTTGCACCCAAAGATTGTAATAGGTGGGGGCAAATTAAACTTAAAGAAAAATGCTACCCACGCCTTGAAGATAATGTGCATAACTTTCTTTTTCATCTCTACTTTTATTTTTCAGAGAGCTATCCCCGCAACACCCTTTAAGGCAATGGGTTCTACCACCAAGTTTTAATATTGCTATATTTTCAAGACTCAAATTCAAAAGCACAATTAGAACACGAGCTTTGTAATTCATTTTAGGGTTTAGAGAAAATAAATGCCACGTTTCAAAAGCATCTTTCCTATGTGGGTTCCCTTTGTACAATCTTCATTGCTTTCCAAATTCCTGTTAGTCAACATTAGTCAATGGATGGAAAAGGGTGACATTGCTCCCCTTTGAACACTTCCGGCATAGCATTACTTTTTATGAAATGTAAGGATACCTAGTGCTCTTTTGAAAAAACTTCCGAAGCGTATTTGACCCTTAACTCTTTTTCATTCCCAGGTTCATCGTTTCATCTTTGATTGGGTTTGATTAGCAAGAGATAGAGAGAGATGATAGATAGAGATGAAGGCAAAAATGATATTATTTTGGTTTGACTATATATCAAGTTTTCACATTACTAAAATGAACTTTTTTCTTTAGTTTTTCTCTATAAGTAGCTATGCATCTACTCCTTAATGATGAGTTGTCACAACAGCAACCTTACCTCCTTCTCTTGAAAGAGATTTATTTTGAATTTTAGCCTGATATTAACATATTTGCATTTGTATGTGTGTACCTCCTTTTCTTATAGGAAATAGCTAGTTTAGGACTAAATTTCATATGGGGAATTCAACTGAAGAAAAAATTAAAAAAGGAGGAAAAGATATTAAGTAAGATGATTTTGCTTACAATCAAGATCACTAATAATGTCAATTATTTTGATTCCCTAAATTAAAATTATTACCCAACTATGTGCACATAATCAAATGATGAAGCTTAGATAATCATTAACCATTTAATACCTCTCTCTCTCTATACTCACACATACCTCCAAAATTAATAAGAAAAGGATGCCACCAATCTCACCAATGGCAATGAATGTGTTACCAATAGAGATCACATATTGAAGCACCACAGCAATGCCAATAGCCTTGTGACTTGATGCCTTGATACTCTCATCTTTGGTAGTGCTAGCTTGTAATTAAGTTTGATAACAAATTTAAAAGTTCAACAGGTCAAGGTTTTCCCAGTTTAACTTATTAAATCAATGGTTAAACTTATGACATAATAATTAAACAAAAAATAATAGGGAGAATAATAGTTAAGTTCCAGAACTTTTAATTAATAACAATTAAGTCCACGACAAAGTTTTTTAAAAAATGAATTGAAAATATTGATCCAAATAAATGCAAATTTAGAAGTTTCAATTGCAAATAAGTATTTAAATATTAAATGTAACTTTTAAATTGTAACAGGAATTTATGTCTGTAACTATTTCAATTGATATTTATAACTCATTTTTTTTTAAATTTTGTCAAGGATTTAACTGTCATTAATTCAAGATTTTGGGACCTGATTGTCATTCTCCCAAAAGAATATTTATATGTATATATATAATAAAAATACTAATAATATCATTCTCCATTCAAAGTTGTTTATCCATAATATATTAGGTTTTAAATTTCTTTTTTTTTCCCCTATCTATACTTTTCAATTTTTCTACACTTTAATTCATATAATGTCAATAAACAGATCATGCACTCAAATTTTTACTATAACAACCATGAAGTAAATTGGCATTAATATTTTAAATTGAATAAAGTTTTGTCACTACAATAAGAGTTAAAAGAAAAAATAGTTCAAAATAATATACTTGTTTCATGTTAATTCTGGTTCTATCAAAACTAACCTATTCAAAACGTGCCAATTCTCAAAACAGTTTAATAAATTAAACCAAGTCATTTTTGTATCTAAATGGTGGTTAGTCTAACCATCTAGATCAATTTGGGTCTTAAAAAACCAATTAAAAGAGATCATATTCGAGGTAGGTTAATTATTTTCTTATTTTCTTTGGGGCCATTGAACATTCGAGCAAGTTGAATGGATGGTCATAAAGTATATAATGGGCCTGACATACAATTGTTCAATTATGTGGCCTAATAAATGTATTTTTGATATCCATCATTTTTCATTTGATTTAAAAACATAATAAAATATCTTCACCATCATTGACCTTCAATATTATCATAGCTATTGAGACCTCTCTAAGTTGGATTAGTAACAAGCCCAATAGCCTTATATATATATATATATATATATATATTCTTATTCTAAATCCTACAATAACTCATCAATTACTCTCTATTTTTACAAGATTTAGATCCTCTTTATACTCTATCTCAATACATTTTTTCATACACAATCCTATCCATTTATTTAATTATTATTTTAGTTTGATGGTTTGAGATTGCTTATTATAACATTAAAATAAATATAGTATTCATTTAATGGTTATCATTGATTAGCATTGTGATCTTATGTTCAAAAAGCATTTAAATGATGATAGAGAATAACCTATTTATTTTAATGCCATAATTAGCAATCTCACACCATTTAATCAAAACTATAATTAAATGAATGGATGAAATTGGATATGGAGAGATGCATTGAAAAAGAGTGTACAAAGGATCCAAATTCATATACTTTGACTCAAGATAATTTTCATTAACATATTCTTTTTTTTTAATTGAAATTGGCTAGCTAACAGCTAGAGGAAAAGGTTACAAAGCAACAACAAAATCTTAGAATCATAATGGTCCAAAACTGTCCAGCTGTTTTGGTTCCGGGTTTATTCCATGTCTTCAAAACAGTTCAAAATGGGTCAATTGCTAAAACGAGTTAATGAATCAAACTAAACCGCTTTTCTATTGGGGGGCGGTCCGATCATTTGGGTCGTAAAACACTTGAAAGGACGTAGGAATAATCTTATACGATTCATTTAAAATAAAACCATTGACCGACAACTTTATTTTCCCATGAATCATCTTCCCTCAACATAAATTCTCATTTCTCAGAATTTCAAGAGAAGAAAACATATTTTCTAAATATTTTTATTCAATTATCACCAATATAGCTATCATCAACTTCACCGAACAATATTCAAGATTTAAGAGAGAATAGGGAAAATGAGAAAATATGAACTGAATCTTATTATTGATAATACACATAGGCATGATATACATACATTGTGTAGTGACTCAAAGAACACGTGTGAGGTAATTCAAGAGAGTAAGCGAGTGGTTCAGTAATTATAACAGTCTAATTATTCTCTAATAGCCTCCCTCAAACTCAAGGTGCCCTGAAATTTGAGTCTGGACTTGAGAAGATGAAAGTGAGGACTCGAAAGTGGCTTGGTAAAAATATTTGTAACTTGTCGAGTTGAGGGAATATGATGAACTAGTAATTGATGCTGTAAAGCTTGTTTGACAAAGGAGATATCTAACTCCATATGTTTTGTACGATGATGAACTGGATTTCTGGATCAAAAAAAAATTATATTAAGGTTATCAGAGAACTTGAGGAACATGACGAAGCCTTGGAATCTTTAATGTAAACAATAAACTGTAGAACCATAACAATTTTACAGTAGCGCCTGCCAAAGCCGATACTCTACTTCAGTGCTTGATCGAGCAACAAGATGCTTCTTAGCAGCCCAAGAAATTAAATTGCCACCAAAGAACACACAAAAACCAAAGGTAGAACGCCTTTCGTCGAAGTCACTACCCCAGTCAGCATCACAAAATGCCAACGGATCAAGAGTAGGTTGTTTAGTGAAACCCAGTCTATGAGTAATAGTGCCTCGTAAATATATGAGAATGCACTTAAAGAGCTCTCCAGTGACTTGCTTTGGGAGCTTGCATATACTGACAAACCATATCAACATTGTATGTAATTTATGGACGTGTAATAGTCACACACTGGAGGCCACTAACTAATTATTGATAAAGCTAAGCACTAGAAAATGACTCAGGATCCTAGTGAGTGAGTTAGGCTGAAGTAGTCATGGAGTTGGGACACCCTTGGAATTCAACATTAATACATTTATGTTGTGATAAACTAAGGACACTAGAATCATGATGTTTGACCTCAATATGAAGCTGACCTAGATTTTTTAGAGCAAATTCAAAATAAAGCGATTTTTTGAGTTGCTCAATATAAGAAGAATTAGTACTAGTCAACAAAATATCATCAACATAGACCAAGATATAAGTTGGGTAAGAGGAGGAATGATGAATGACCAAAGAAGGATCACACTTGCTAGAGAAAAAACCCTATTTGTGAAGAGCAGAAGCTAATGTGAAACTAGGTTGGATCCCTGTTTAAGATCATAGAGACTCTTGTGGAGACAACATACCAAATGAGGATTTTTAGAGATAAAAACAGGCGACTCATATAGACTTCCTCTTCAAGAGTGCCATTTAAAAAGGCATTATTAACATCAATTTGGGAAATGGACCAAGAATTATGCAATGCTAGAGTGAGAATAGTACGAATTGTGGATGGTTTAACAATAGGGGAGAATGTCTCATTATAATCAAAACCATAGGTCTGGTGAAACCTTTTTGCAGCTAAGCATGCCTTATAATTGTTTATAGTACCATTAGGATTTTCTTTTGCAGCTAATCATAGGTTTGTCATGAGGAGGTGAAACAAGGGTCCAGGCTTTATTGTTAAGGAGGGCTTAATATTCATCAGTCATAGCTTTATTCCAGTGTGGAATTTAGAGGGCTTCATGAAGATCAGTAGGAATATAAAATGACGGAGAAGGTTGAGAATCAGAAGAGGCTTTAGTAGTAGTAAAAGAAGCTTGAGGATAAGTAGGAACTTTGCACTAATTTTTTCAAGCTGATTTTTCCTTCTTCAGGTGGGGAAAATTTTGCTTGGGTTAGTTTGGGCATCTCAGGTTTTTAGGCAACCTACTTAGCTCTAGTGGCAACCTTACGATGATAGCATGGGTATTCATGACAATGGGGAGGGTTTTAATATGTAGGAATGGAAAGGGAAAATGAGAGGAAGGGGTCTAAGATGGGTTAGATTTCGTGCGAAAATAAAGACAAAATTTTTTAGAATTTTTTTACAAGAAGCAACTGATATTCTTACCTTTTTATTGGTGCAATATCACCCCCTTCTTTCAAAATTAGTGCACAGCTGACTTGCCATTAAAATTGGAGGACATTGACCGTTAATAGGAAAAGTTCAACTAAACATGGCATTCTATGTCAGAAAATTTATTAATAAAAAATAAAAAACTAAACCTCCTTTCTCCATTCTCAAAACAAGACATTTTTTCCTCTTCCTCTTCAGTCTTCACCTGCTTCAAAAATTTAATGATGGCGTCACCCTCAGCAAGAAATAGAAGATCTTCTACAGGTCATCGTCAACCTTCCCTTCTAAACCTTCAAAACATGAAAGGAAATACCCCCCAGAGAAATTTCCCTATTTCATTTCAAGGTCTCTTATGCAAAATCCCATCATCGTCTCCTCAAGCCACACCTTTGAGTGCTTTACTAGCTTCTTTAGACCAATTGTGATTTACATAGTGACTCGCTCAAAGGTGTAGCCTAAGTAGATGATGACAAGATCTGTCAAAAGAGACAGTACATTGTAAAAGAATAGAACATGCAAGTGTGAGTGTATAGGATACTCACTACTGAACTTTTTCTCATCAACAAAATCTCCGACCATGGAAATCGATTCCGATCCTAATACCTGTGCACCTCTTGTAATCTCCTTCTGCCATATGACTTCTGCTTCTTATGACAATGTCCTTTTCTTCTCGGAAAGCCACAACTTCAACTTATACACCACCCTTTCCTCCTTCTTCAACAAAAGCAGTTTTCTTCCACATTTTCCTTCATTGGCTCCATTGATGCCTTCTTCGGCTTCAGTGGATCCTTTGTAAAGGACGACCGCTCAAGATGTGGATCCCAAGGATCCTTCTGGAATGACTGTTAAAGGAACTCACAAGCTTTCTAATATGAAACGGTGTTAAGAATTAAAGGTTAATTGGGCCAGTATTCTTGCAACCTAATATATGAATATGGGTTGTTAATGGTTTTTGGTTGAGTTCCTTTTTGGGCACGCGTGCCTTGCTTCCTTATTTTCATTTTATTGTATTTTGTTTTTTTTTGTTTTTCTTGTTTTCTTGTTTTTTAGCTGGGCTATAATAGTTTAGTTTGTGCCCAGGTTTAGTTAGAGTATGTAACAGAGGCAAATGCCTGACATTGTATTTTTCATCCCAAAAGGCTTGAATGAATGAGATTAGTATTATTCAAAAAATTCAAAATTATTAACTTCATAACATCATACTCGAGCCAGGTTTGTTTATCCTAACCCGATTCTTCATCAACCCAATACCTCTCTTCCCTAGCTTTGAGATTTTTCTTTCGTCATTCTTGATGTTATCGTTGTCTTCACACCTACTCTGTCAATTCATCATCGATCATCTTTTTCTTTCTTCTCACTGGACACTGTTACTTCTTCCCAAGCCACACTATGCTTGAGACTAGAAACTCAATCCTTTGCTTCCATGCTAGATCTAACTCACCCACTTGATCTCCATCTATTGAACAATCAAGCCTCTACTCTTATCGTTCAGTGGCTTATCGAAACAACCAACTAGGGGATCTGGAGTAGTGAAATACGGATAATGCTTAATGCGAAGAACAAGATTGGACTGTGGATGAATCTCACAATTGAGAAGGTCAAAACAAGCAGTTTCAAGATTAGTGGGACCACTGTAAGGCGTCGTTCTTTCCTAGATAATCAACTCAATCTCAAAGAGATTTTCGCAATTATCACCTTTTCAGAAAACGCACATCATATTTGGGAAGACTTGCACAAGTGTATTAATGTTTTGAACAGAATGAAGAATTACAATCTTCATTTTCTCATCAACTCTCTTAGTCAAGGTGGTATGTCTATTTCTAGTTATTTTACAAAGCTAAAAGAGTTATGGGAAGAATATGCCACCATTGATCCCCTTCTATGACATGTAAATGCAACTCCTCTATCAAGTATGTCAAGAACACTCAGCAGTAAAACGATTTCAATTCCTCATAGGGCTCCATAATTCATACCAACCAAAGAAGTCAGATTCTCCTCATAAGTCTTCTGCCTTCGGTTAATCAAGCGTATTCAATGATCTCACAAGAAGAGGCTCAATGATCTATTTCCTCATCGTCTCTCTAATCTTTTGAGTATTTTGCCATGACTACTAGAGGTTGTTCTAAAGGAAACTACTCCAATGAATGTTCCTATTACCACAAACAGGGACACACAAGGGACAATTGTTTTCAAATTGTTGGGTTCCCCTTAATTACTTATGAGGAGGAGGGTGTGGTACTCAATTTAGACCAATTAATCATGTTGAAGGCTTTGCATCTCAACATGCGTCCAAATCACAGTTGAATTCCTCATTTGAATGCCAACTATTAACCCCCAAGGACTATGAGAAAATTATAGAGAACCTGAAGAAAGAATCAAGAGCCTCTCAGTTGAAGCCCTCACAATAAGAGGAGCACCTTCTAAAGACCCAGGATACTCTTCAGGTTTGGATACCTTTACTCTATCCTCTTCACATCACACTTACGCATAATGGCTATTAGATTTTGGAGCCACTTGTTATGTTGTGAACACTTTAGATTTCCTAGATAATTATGAGAAATATACTAGACCCCCTTTTAAAATTAAAATCCCTAATGCTGTAAAATTATCTGTCACACGCATCAATAGTGTTAGGCTTTTTGATGATATTTTGCATAATGTTCTATATGCTCAAGGAACCTATTATGATTTGATTTCTATATTTCACCTAACAAAAGAACTGCAATGTGTTATGGCATTTTTCCCTAACATCTGTATGCTGCGAGATCTCTTTAGCAGCAGAACCAAAAAGATTAGTGAAATAAAATCAAGGCTATATGTGATGTATGGCAATCTTCCTTCATCTTCTACTATTTTTCCTAGTAATCATGTTTCCAATAATCATGTCTTTGAAACACCATATGGCATTTAAGACTTGGACACCCCTCAAATTCTATACTTTGGCATGTAACCCCTTTACAAGACAAATTATATTCTCTTGATGTTTCTAATTGTGATGTTTGCTATAAAGCAACATAATTGATTGCCTTTTCCTTCTAGTCAAACAAACATGACTTCTTGTGTTGAGTTGCTTCATGTTGATGTTTGGGGTCCATACAAAGAGCCAACCCATCAAGGGTACAAATTTTTCTTAACAATTGTTGATGATTTCTCTCAAACAATATTGATTTATCAAATGCATAACAAGCATGAAACTTTTTACCATATGAAGAATTTCCTTTGTCTCATAACTAAGCAATTCAATACTAAAATCAAGCACATTCATAGTGATAACGGTACTAATTTTGTAAATCATGATGCTTCTACTTATTTATTTTAAAATGGTATCATTCATGAAACCAGCTGTCTTTACACCCAACAACAAAATGGGATGGCTGAAAGAAAACATAGGCATATACTAGATGTTTCTAAGAGATTAATTTTTCAAGCCAAAATCCTACTTAAATTTTAGGGGAAACTATTAGAACTGCTGTTTATATAATAAATAGACTCCCTTCTACAGCTTTGCATTATAAAACTCCTTATGAGATTTTGTACAAGAAACAACTTAATTTATCAAATTTGGAAGTTTTGGGTGTTTAGCTTATGTCAAAATTCTAGAAAAACTAGACAAGTTTGAACCTAGACCTGAAGGATGTGTTTTCTTAGGGCATTCAAATAATCAAAGAGGCATCTTATATACAACATTAAAAAATGACAATTTTTTTTACAGAGATGTTGTATTTTTTTGAAAATAAGTTTCCTCTTTCAAAAGCTAGTTCTACTATACAAGGCCATGTAAAGATAACATCTCAGGATCCCTTTATCTTTGATGATACTCTTGGTTCATAAATTAGTTTTAATTCTCCCTTGCATACTGTTCATGAACCCGTGTATGGTATTGATGATAATAACAATGCTTCACATGACAGTACATAATTAAGAAATGCTAAACCTACTAGTCATAGGAAAGCACCCACTTGGCTTGGAAATTATGACTATTCTAGCTTAGAATTTGTTGCTCACCATAAGTGCATGAGTTGTAGCAAATAATATAATGAAAGTAAAGTATCGTTCTTTCAAGAATTTGTTTAAAAACAATGATCAAACAAAAAATTAAGTACATTCAATCAAGTTGAGCCAAAAACAAGTAGGAAAAAGTTGATTTTGCAAACTAATTGGGACCTAGGATAATTTATCCCCCTTGCATTTCATAACACCAAAATTATCCCCTCTCATAAATGCTTTTAATGAAAATAAGTCTAACATTAGATTCTAAAAATACTCGGACAAGCTTTCTTAAGTTGTGAACAAGTGTTTAGTTAAATTAATTGCCCAATCTCTTGTTACAATTAATAAAATTCAATTTTAAACACCAACCCTAATGTAGTTATGCAAGGCTAACAAATATATTTCTATCTTACTAGTAAAACTATTCATTCAACATGCAAATATTAAGTTCTTGCACTATTTTATCCAAGTTTTACACTCAATCAAGCCCTTTCAAGTATCAATCAAGTAAATCCAACATTTAAATGGTGGCCAATCGCTTAGAAGCATTAAGAAAAGAGTAAAATAAACACATACACATCATTAATCACAAAAACAGAGGAAGAACTTAATGCTAATTCATACAAGGGTTCAAAATAATCCTAGAGTAAAGAATTTAGCTACTCATAAATATTAAAAAGCTACAAATACATAAGATATTCACATGCATGACAAGATTACAAGAAGAGAAATGGAGAAGAAACAAAGGAACCAAAGAAATGGAGCTTCAAATCTCTTCAAAACTTTAACTCTTGGATCCAACTCATCCAAAGCTCAAACCCTAGCACAACAAAGCTCCTAAAGTGTCTTCATGTGAGAAGAATGCATTCTAGTTTGAGTTCACAGCATATATGCATCATATCCAAGCATTTTTAGATAAATAAAATGGAGCATTTTGCTGTCAGTGGTGAAAGTCCGATTGAAAGTCGCGACTTTGGGACAACTTTAGCAATTTTGCACTATTTTTGCAGCTAACGAAAATTATTCATTTTGTACTTGATTTTTTTCATTCAAAAGCCTTCTAAAAACATCAACAAAAGTCCAAAAATGCTTTTAATCAAACCTTGACCCAAAATAACACAATGTAAAATTCTCACTTCACTAAACACATTTAACATTAGAACTCATGATAATCAAAAGATTAATACAGAAAAGTGATTACCAAGTTTTTGTCTAAATTTAAAGGATCCTAAGTTTTCTAAATAACAATGAGTTTAAAACAATCAAATCCTTTATATTAGAGGAAAAATAAGTTTTGAAAACATAGGATACCTCAAAGGAGTGAAAGAATTCGAAGACGGCTAAAAAATAAAACATATGTTGTGATCTCTTGTTATGGTGGAAGGCAAATGCATCTACATATAAAATTCTTTCTCTTATGGTCAGAGATGTGTTGGCTATTCCAATGTCAACGGTCACATTTGAATCTGCTTTTAGCACCGGAGGGCGAGTAGTTGATCAAAATATAGGAGTTCACTATCTCCTCAAATAACTGAAGCACTGATTAGTGCTCAAAATTGGCTCCTACCTGGAACATCTCTGATGGAACTTGCTAATAAGTTGCGTGAATTTGACAAGTTTGAAGAGACAGATCATGTTGTTCAATCTGATAATATTTTTAATTTAATTTGATTTTTTTCTATTTTTTTGTGCTGTGAATATTGATTTTAGCTATTGTTTAGTGTTGGACATATTTTTAATTTGATTTCTTTTTCCTTTAGAAGTAACTACTATCATTGAAGGAGGACAATATGATACTATGACTGTGGATGGTTGAAAGAGGGACAAAGATTGTTGCTTGAATGCTCAATATGGTAGTTTTGTTAACTTAATTTATTTTTCTTCTTATAAATTGTCATTGAATTTAATTCTTTTTATTGTTTTATTTTAGATTCTTGATGGTTCAGCAGTTTAGCTTTAGCCTTAAAGGAGGAATGGCCAAATGGACATTGGCAACTCAATTTGTCTAGTTTATGTTGGATTTTTTTTTTAGGATTAACTTTATGTTTGAACTTTGAATTATTAGACTATTTGACTTGTAGCTTTTGAAAACTTATTATGGTGATGGTTGATGGCTTGATGGTTGATGTTTATGAAAGATAGATCTATGGCCTTTTAAAAGGCTATTTTTGTTTATGGATGACTGGGACCATATTTGAATTATTAGATAAATCCCTTTGTGTTGTCATGCATTTTATCATGTTATGCTTATCTTCTATTTTTCACTTCTTTTATTGTTGTTAGTGGTGGAATATCATCCTATAAGTTATTTATAAGTTTAGTTGTTTGATTGTATTGTCTACTGTCTACTATGCGAGTAGTGTATTGTTTTAGGCTTTTTCATGTTGAATTTTTGGATAAGGCTAAAGACCCTACTCGAGACGCCTGATCCTTGCTTGCCCGACCCTTCTAAAATCGAGCATTTTTCAAGTAGGGTCAAGCTTTAGGTTTGGTTTGCTTGCCCAAAAACATTTAGGGCAGCGCATCGGGTTAAGGGGCTGCCCTACCCGACCCTGCCCATGCACAACTCTGACACATACCAAGCAAGTCCAAATAAACTACACAATAATCATCACATTTTGCAAAACTATTTTATCATTTGCAATACCCAATGCAAATAATGTCGTTTAAATTTTTTAAGCAACGAAGAATATTACATGAGAGAGGAGAATCCTTTAAATGAGGTTTAAATTTTTTAAGAAATTAGTCTTTTTATGGTCGCCACATAGATACCTTAAGAAACTTAAAAAAAAAAATGTGTAGGAATACCTACAAACAATTAAACTTAAGTTTAAAAAGTGGGCCGAACAAAATATTAAACTAATTATTTTAATGCATAAAATTCAAAATAGAGGATTTTTTTTTATTTCTTGGCCAGAAAATTCAAAATTATCTCGACCAAAGAACACAGAAGAGAGAGAGAATACCGTTGGTGAAAAGGAGGGTTATCCAAAGTTCCAAACCAACACCAACAAGCTCGAAGATGGCGACCATTATTACATCACTATCTCTGTCCATGCCATTTCCAAAACTCTCTCAGCATTTTCCTTCTTCTTCTTCTTCTTCTTCTCCTCTCAAAATCCTCATCCACAGACCCAAACCCTTCCGTTCCTTCACCGTCCAAGCCACTGAATCGGAACCAACTCCCTCCGATTCATCAGACCAATCCGAATCCTCCGCACCGGCTTCCGACGAAGACTTCGACACTCGCATGAACGAATTCCGCCTCCGATACCGGAGCGGGACGGGCAAGAAAGCGGAACAGCGAAAGGTGAAGAAATCGAGGAAGGGAACGGCATCGGCGTCGGGATCGGGAGTGTACCTTCCGCCAGTGCCGCTGAAGGAGTCAGTGTCGGGCGGGTTAAAGGTGGACATCGGGTTCAGTCCGTACAGCGAGCGGCTCAACGGTCGGATTGCGATCCTTGGCCTGACGGCGCTGTTGCTGGTGGAGCTAGCGACGGGGAAGGGTGTGATCAACTACCACACGCCGGCGATTGTGCTGATTCAGATGTACTTCGTGGCAGCAGTTTCAGCTCTGTATGTGAAGTATGAGAAGGAGAAGATCAGTGTGTGGCCTCAATCTTCACGTAATGAATAATTTCTTTTCCTTTAATTTTAATCAATAAGTGTGTGTGTGTATTGTTTTCTTTCTGACCAATAAGTCACTGAGATTTACAAATTAATTTCTATTCGTTTAAACATGTGCAGTTTTGTGGTAGATAATATTAAGAAAATAGTAATAATTCAGTGGCCTAGTTGACTTTTTTCTTTTTATGCGATTTTCTGTTTTATTCCCATTTGTAGAACTCTTTATTATTAATACTATTATTTGATTTTTTTATTAAAAAAATAATTTTTTCGGATATTATGGGTATTAAAAATTAAGTTAAATATAATTTAATTAATTAAATTGGTATAGAAGCATAATAATTTTCTGAATTATTACCCCTAGTTAAATAGTTTTTAGAGAACTATATGGAAAAAGTTGTCATTTAGTGGTCCACACAATTGTTAAAAATGACATAGTTTGGATATAGCAATTTAATTGAAAGAGATCTATTTATAAAAGAGATATTCTTTATTATTAACCTACTTCTTATACTTATGTTTACTAGAAAATGAATTTGTCAATAACTGTTATAAACTCCCGCTGTTCAAAAATATAAAATATTTTTGGAAGGATTGAATGTTTAAAAATATAAGATATTTTTAATCTTTCAAAATATAATAATTGACTTTTTGCTTAAAAGTATTTCTATTGAATAACTTACTTTTTATTTATTTTAGAGTAAAACATCTTTAAACAAGGGTAAATATTGAAAAATAGAGTTAGTTTAAATACAAGTAATTGCTTAGTTTAAGGTAAAATTTAATTAAAAATATTTTATATTTTTAAATAAAATGAGTACTTTTTTTTTTTACAAACTAATTGTCACACACACAAGAGAATATTATACACATAAGACTAAATTTTGAATCCTATCAGAAGGTTTTGGATTGAAGAATAAGGAGTTTTTGCAGTGACATGAAAAACGAGACTAAAAAAGCGATGAGTGGAGTAGGTATTTGAGAAGTTTTAAAATGATCTGGAAACAAAGAATGGAAAAAGAAAATTTTATAAAATTGCAAAAAATAAGCAAAGGAAATTAAGAAACTTGGAACTAACATATTAAAAACTAAACTAGTCATTGAATTGATCAAAATCAGGGGTCAAAGATTAAGGGTTTAATCAAGATTAAACTGAAACTAAATTGATCATAATAAACTAATATAACTTAAGTAAAAACACATTATCTTATACTTGGTATCTCATAAAATGCCACGTATAAGTACAATAATTATATTTTTCCTTCTTCTCCCTGTTCTATTTTCATTTGTCCATAAAATGGAAAAAAAGACAAGAAAAATATTTATAATACCATTAATATAAAAATATTTGAGAGACCCAACGCCTTGCGTTCAAATCTCAAACTCTGAACCTTTTGGCTATATTTCACTACTTTTAGTCTTTTCCATATGACGCACGCAACCTGTTAACCTGCTTGAACATGAATTGAAGCAAGAAACTCATGGAAAGTGGTACAAACTAGAAAGAAAGGCAACGAGAGTGAGCAAACAACATGGTGGAGGCCGAAGGGGGTGATGCAGAGTCAATGCCGAGTGAAAGTCAAGGGATGGGAAGCTGCTTGCTGGGTCAGCATTAAGAATGCTGAGGGAAGGGAAACTGCTTGTTGGCTCTAAGCTAAGGTCAAGGAAAGGGAGGTTGGGTTTGCTACACGCGTTTTAGAGCTTTAAAAAAAAAAAAAAAGGTAGCTCACCCAACCTGCCTGACCCGTGGGATTGGATGAATTAATCTAGGTTAACTCAAATTGATTAGTTCCCAAAAAAATCTCCAAATGAAACGGGACAATTGGCTAGTTTACTAGTTTGACCTGTCAGTTCAATCTAATTTTACAAACCATGCTTGGAACAAGTACATTGCATAAAAAATGAAGGAAAATTCTTGATTACAAGTGGAGATATTAAAGATAGATGAAAAGTCTACTTTTACAAGTTTTTGAATGATGGAGAGGGCTTCTAAGATTTAGTAACTTAAGAAAACATTCCTTTTGAAGTATGAGAATATTTAGATGAAGAGGAGGTATTATAGCTAACTAAGCTATTTAATGAGATATTTTAGTCCAAGAAAATATCTTAAAAATGAAGGAGAAACACTTTAGTTCATATTTACAAGAATAAAAGAGATATTTAAAATTGTGCAAACTATATTGAGATTAAACTAATGAGTCATACTATGAATTGTATGAAAGAGTTATTGAACTTTGGTTGTGGTCGAAGACTTGTATTTTTTAGAATTAATTTAGTTTTGTACTAGGAAAGGCTATGACAGAAGTGATATATCTAGCTATTATCTACTAAGGAAATTGATAAAGTAGTATTGAAGCAAAGGTTGAGACTTACACATTATTTTCAATGATTTAGAAAAAATTTATGATCACGTATTAAGAAAAATACTTTGAAAATTCTTATGGGGGAAAAAAGGGGTTCAAGTCGGTTATATCAAAGACGTGCAAAATATGTATGATAGGGCGGCAAGTAATATAAGAACATTTGATGGTGAAAAAAAGAAATTTCCTATATAAGGATTAGATTATATCATAGATCATCTTTAAACCCTTACTTATTTGACCTAGTTTTAGATGTTCTCATTTAGCATGTTTAAGAGGAAATTCTCACTTGTTTTTTGCAAATGATATAAATTTTACTGTGGAGTTAGTAGAAGAAACTAACTCTAAACTTGAATCATAAAGAAGAACCTTGGAGTTGAAATGTTTTTGCCTAAATAGGAGTGAGTTGGAGTATTTGCATTGCAATTTTGACATAGGTTAGTTAGTAGTGACTTGAAAGTAGGATTGAAATATCAAATCATACCACAAGTGAAAAATTTTAATTATTTAAAAGCAACTATTCAAAATGAAAATAATGGGAATATTGCACATAAAACACAAGCTAGGTGATTCAAATGAAAAAAGATTGCAACAGTTATTTGTAATAAAAAAAGTATCTCATAAGTTTTAAAAAAAGTGTTATTTAAATGTTACAAGACTAATTACATTATATGGTAGTGAATACTGAATTTTAAAAGGACATCAAGAATATAAAGTTAGGATAGTAGACATAAAGATATTAACATGGATAAATAGACATGCACAAAAAGATAAAATCTATAATGAATACATATAAAAAAAAGTGAATATTACATCTATTGAGAAGATAGTAGAAAATTATTTAAAATTTTGACATATATAAAGAAGATCATAAAAAGCATTGGTGATAAGAGTGGAACAAATCCTTTAAGCCTTGTAGAAACGGGCAAAGAAAGCCTTGCAGAACGAGACTTAAATGCTACATTGTTGATAATATGCACAATGACGCAATGCAATACATATAGTTGACCTCTCTTATTAATGAGGCTACTTGTTATTGTTATTGTGATCAAAAAAAATTGTCACAAAATCACTGCTTAATAATATAATATAATAAGTAAACTGAGATTCAAATTTGAAATACAGTTAATTAAATAACGATCGTTATTTTATTTTTCTTAATAACTCGATGACAACAAGCAGTGGACAGAAATAGATGACGCAACATTTAGGCGAGCCAAAAATACAGGGAACTTGGAAGTTGTATCATAAAATTGATTTTTCATACTTCTTTTTTTTATAAGCCGGAAATAAAAATCATGTAATCGATTATAAATACTTGTTAATGTAATATGTTTATCGTATTATATCAAAACATCTCAGAAACTGTTGATGCCATAAACTATAAACTTTTCTAGAACTAACTTATAGAATAATCTTACTAATTACATGTTTAAAAAACTAAGTAAACAAATTCATGCAAATTAAACAAAATTAGTTAAAATCAGTTGATATTCTTAGAATTATCTCATATTTTAAAACAAAAAACCTTTCTTTATAAAAAATGAAACATTTTCCATTTTCAGTTAGTCTATATTTGCCAACGGTTTAAATCAAATTTTATTAACATAAATTTAGTTATTTGTATAATATTTTCTGCCGACGATGTTACATTATAATAATAGTTCCATAAAATATTGAATCTAAGCTGTTCAATTTTTTATCACATGATAAGAAAAAAAATGAGAGGAATGATCTAATGCTATATTTGTATATACATGGATTTGGATTTCAATTTGAATTTGAGCCAAATTCATTATTTGAATAATTAAAAATGTATATATTTTGCATTGCCCCAAATCCAAATCCAAGTTCTATTTCAATCTCTTTGTAATTTAAAATCCTTTCTAAACTCCTATTATTTCAAATTATAATTCAATCTCTTTTGTAATTTGACTCAAATCTATGAAAGCTTGATTGACCAACCAACGATAATTAGACCAGTCCGCCGAAGTTGATGAAAACAAGCTTCCACTGTTGATCGGGACTAGACAACCGACTTCCTCCAGGACTAGACCAACAAGGACAACCGGGATGAGACAACTGACTGTCACTGGGAACGGACTGATGACGACGATTAGGACGACTGACCTCCACTAAGACCAAATCGATAGTGATGACTGGGACCGAACATGTGGTGACGATCAAACTGAACTGGCTTTCGAGATTGAACAGACAACGACGACTGGCACCGGACGCCCAACTTTCGCCAGGACTGGATTGACAACGACGACAGGGACCAAATGGCTGACTTCCACCTGGATCAAACCTACAATGATGATGGGGACCGAACGGCTGACTTCATCCTGAACCAAACCAACAACAATGTCGAGGATTGGAGGATCAACTTCCACCAGGACTAAACCAATGACAATGATAGGGACATAACGTCCTATCCTAATTGTCGCCTTAGGTTTGGCCTCGATGGCCATAATTAGTCCAGTCTCGGTAGAAGTTAGCCTTTCGATCAAGGTGGATGTCGAGCATCAAATCCCGGTGGAAGTCAATCGTCCAATTCCCATCGTCCCCGTCAGTTCGATCCCAGCTGAAGTTGGTAGTCTGTTCTCCATCGTTGCCATCAGTTCAATCCCAATGAAAGTCAATCGTTCGATCCCAGTGGAAGTCAAGTTTCTTTTAAATTCAAATATAAAATATAAAATATAAAATTTTATTTTAGAACCAAATAAAAAATTTTAATATTATAATTTAAAATTTTTTATATCATTTAAATAAAGAATTTAAAATCCATGAATTTCAAATACGAAATTTCAAATATGAGAGTCTAAATCCAAATTTCTAACTTAAATCCACCTATCCAAATACAACCTAAATTCATTTTATTCGTCTTTCTTAATTCATTCCCCATCATAATCATGCAACAATGTAATTGAAATATTAATGACCCTATAGATTTAGAATGAGACATGTAAATATAATTGAAAGTGACATTAAGCATTTACTCAATTTTCTTCTTCTTTGGTCTCTCACTACTCCATGGTAAAAAATACACCCGCTCAAAGGACATACAATTTTACAAATATGCCAACCAATCTTGTCTCAGCTTTTTCTGCAGACATGGGTTTTATTTCATGATGCATCGATTATGGCATTTGTAACTGAAAATAAGAGAGAGAGAATCGTGACAGAGAAGGCAATTTTATGTTCTTTATTGCTGCAATTTTAACTCAATTACATTAATTAGTCCTGTCCACACCAGGAAAGAATGGCAACCATCTTCAGAACACTCTAAAATTTTCATTCAACTACAAAGGCTTAAAAAGCCAATTTTCTTTCATTTGGCAATGTGGATACCTTTTCTCTCACATCATAGTTGACTCTACTTTACAATTCCCTGACCTGATGAGACTAAAGTTACATGAAAGCTCAGAGATGGCCTCTTCCTAGTCTTGTTTGAGATACAACCTACTGCTACGATCTGGATTGTTGAGGGTCGCACCAGAATTTTTGCATTAGCTCACTGAATGATCTCAAAATTATTATGTATTCAACTTGGAGCAACCAACCTGGTTATAATGGCGCCCTTGCTAAGAAGTCATTAACGGCAAGATTGGCGTCACCGTGGGACACAGCATCCTCTGGTTCTGGCATGTATAAAGTAGAAGATGAAGCCTGCAAAACCATTTTTGGAGTCAATGAGATATCACATGACTAGAATATTCTCTCATAGCTACTATATTAACTAGGGGTGGAGCCAAACACAAGCCAATTAATATTAATATGTCACTTAGATCACATCGGCTTCCTACATCTTTTACATAGATATATAGATTATATGGAAGACTGATTTCTCAAGTCAAGGAGACACAATCTGAAGGTTTTACAAAGTAAGAATTGAGTGAAACACTCTTTTTTTAGCAACAAATTTTCAAACGAGTAACTTCTAAATTAACAGGGATCAGCATAAACCAACAAACTAAAATAGTCTAATAATAACTCTTTAGTGTAACTAGATACGATTTTCCATGCACTGCACAAAGTCTAAAGTTGAATTGCTCTATCAACAACTTACAAATACTTCAACTTTCTGTAAATTTTATATATTGACATATGGATGAGGGAAGAGAAAGCAGGTACTCAATGCCCCCACAAGTGCAGATGCTCCCTAGGGGTAGCAATACCTCACGAAAGTGGAAAGGCTAAACCTATAGATATATAGCTATGTTATGTTGATTCTAGATTTGAAATTAAAGCTCATATATTGCTACGGAGGTACTAGGTTAGATCTGACTCAATTAGTAAACTTAGTAAGGAATGGAGAGGTAGAGGCCATAACATACTTTCGTGTCAAGCAGAGTTTCTCCACTGCTATCAGAAATAACTATGGCACCGTGTACTTTCAACCATTCTACACACTCCTCAAATGCATCTGCATCCTTCTCATTACTTTCTACATCTGTAGCCATTGAAGTTGAGAATCCAAGAACCTGAGCAACATATGAAACAGGTACAGTAGGACGGTATGACCGGCACATGCAAGTCACAGCTTTATAACGCATCTTTTCAAC